TATTGGTCATTTATGGGTTGGGAGGGAATCTAGTGGCAGGACAGGGACGTTGGTGGAATAGTTTGCATACATTTCACATGCAAGAATGAATTTTATAGGAGCAAAAAGTCTTCAGGGGATGGGTCCTGCTTAAGGCTTGAGACCTGTGCCCCCTTTAGGGGAGATAGTAGAATGGGATTCTGGTGTTATGGTCCTGGTCTAATGCTCCCAGAGCCCAAAGGCTTTGCAATGCAAGTTCTGAGTGGGCTGGAGACTGATATGTGTAAGCACAAGGAGTACTGGAGCACTTTGTGGAGAGGGTGAGCAGGTTAAGCTGTTTTGTAAGATGCAGCTAATGAAAGACCATTGTTGCCCTGAGGAGAACAGAAGGGAATTGTATTATTTATGCATTACAATTGCAGCCATCAAGGCACAAACAAAGCAACTTGCACAAAACCAGACAAAGGAGGTTGCTGCAGAGTCAGCAGTTTCAGCTCAGGTTTCCTGTGTCCCAAACTAGGACTTTAATCATCTTCCTTCTCTGTGAGAGAGAAACGAGTATCAGAGAACACAGTGAGTCCTCACATTTTTCTAGCCCAAGACAGCACTGCGTCCATTGTTGGGACTAGCCCCCTAGGAGGAATTATTTCTATTCAGTTTGTGTGTGTCACAGCCAGATAATGCACTGGGTGGTATTCCCCTCTCTTCCCCCAATCTTTCTCTTTTATGACCACATGACTTCACCCCCTCGTGTGAGTGACAGTACCCATTAGACTAGACTCTGATGCAAAACAGCTGTGTGCAGAGAAGGGGAGGAAGGGAGTGGGGAACAGCAATTTAGAAAACAATTAAGAACATCAATTCCAATTCATTTGCTTGGCCAGGATAAGTAATTTCTAAGAGGTAACTTGATCTGTAGCGGATGGAGATTAAAGGCGCACTCCATTATCTCTAGTTTACAGTCTGGAGGAATTTGTTTAACTGGTTACCAAGGAGGCTGCATGGAAAAAAAAAGCCTAAAAATCTCTAAAAAACCCTCCTGATTTCTTTTAAAGAGCTTGCATGGGTTTATTAACTCTGTGGAAGTATGGTCTGCATGGCAAGAGGAATGGTTCAGCTTTCAGAGACAGAATCCCTGCCTGCAAGAGCTTGCAGGTATCAAAACCAATTATGCCAGTTTCAAACAGCAGTTAAGATTTTGGTGTTGAGATAGACCAGAAGCACGAGACATGGGGCACAGAAGCAGATGCAGCATTCTGCAGAGGAAGCAGAGGATGTGGAGGAGAACACAGTGAGCTGAGCATCAGGCAGCCCGGCTCTGACACTGCTGCACTCCGTGCTGTGAAAGGTGATTCCCTGCACTGCCTTACCACCAGAAAAAGAGGCCATCAGCTGTGAGCAAAAGGGGGGTGATGTACTTGGATACCTCTCAGAGATGCTGGGGGACTCCATGAGTAAATACCCCATGTCCCTTTGAGGCTGATCTTGCCAAAGCAAGGGTTTGTGACCCAAGTGTTGTGACAAAGTGTTCTGTATTCACTCCTATATAGGATGGCACCAAAAAGGGAATGTGTGATGGGAGAGACACTGATTCTCTGCCATGGAACTCTGGAGCTCTCCCTTTCCACCCTCCTCAGCCCTCAGCACTTTTCCCAACAACCCTGTGGCTGGTTTTGCCCCAACTCCTTTGGACCTTGAGCCTTCACTCTTGTTTTGCAAAATACAGTGTTGTAAAGAAGCCAAGACACCTTGCAACTCCAGACCATCAAAATGCTCCTCAGACCATTGGAGTTACCTTTTGGGAAGCCTTGGTACTGCTGCTGGGTAGTTCTTCTAGGAACCCAGAAAGGTTCCTGCAAGCCCTTGTGCGTGTCTCTGGATCTGATGTGAGGGGTAAAAGCACACGTGGAAAACACCAACCATGAGCAGGCTCAAAGTTCAGAGCTGGCCTTGGATCTGCATTTCCCTGGCTGGAAGCAGACTTCTCCCTCTCCTGTGCAGCTTAGGGACAAATGGCACTGCTGCCATCATGAGAGGGCCAGCCTGCACTCTGTACAGCTGCATCCCTGTCAGCTACCTAAGGCTCTGGGGTGATGTAACCACCTCAGTGCAAGTGGGAGCTGAAGAATGTGATGTGACACATTTCCCGGACCACCAAATAAACTAAAAAGTAGGCTCCCAGCCCAGAAAGGTTACCCTCCCAAATAAACACGTCCCAGCCTCCCTTCCTCACACACACTTACCTCCTGCCACCCCAGGACGCTGAGCTCCTCACAGGCTCCATTACAGACCCAGAATGAGCAGGTTCTTCCAGCCAGTCTGCATCTCCCATACAGTAATTGCTTTGGAATGGGCATCTGAGAACAAGACACAACTGTATATACAAGAAATGTTCCCTCTGCATAAACTTCTCAGTAGACTTACTTTTGTCTTGTTGCCAGGAAATGTATTTGGAGCCTCTTGCTAACCTCACATTTCTTTGATTACAGGGGCATGACCAGTTTGTTCCAAGAGTTACAGGGGGAAAAAGGAATGAGAAAGTAGAAAGCCCTCTTGAAGCACATCAGCTTTGCAGCAGCACATGAGAGCACCCCATTCCACCTTCTGTCCTTCTTGTGACAGCTGTGCTTCCAAGGGTTGGGAAGGAGTGGGGGGAGCCCAAACTTGCTTCTCCAGAACAGGGAATGTCACTGTAAGTGAGTTAGAACCTGAGATCATTTCTGCAGCACAGTGCAGTGAGCTCCAGGCTGAAAGAGGAGCCACTCCACTGATGCCTCAGGTTTGAGCTTTTATATTTTTCAGGTTCTGTCCTGCTTTGGTGTGTGGGTCTGAGCTTCATATTAGGGGATGGTGAGCTCTCTGCACAGAGCAGGGAGACAAAACAATTCCTTCTCCAGCTGGGCACCAAGGACAAATGATCCAAATCTCAGGCCCAAGAGCACAAACAACGTGGGCTGGAGAGAGAAAAACAAGCAGGGTGGGACTGCATGGGCTAAAGCTGGAATGGGACAATTAACTCTAATATGCAAATGGAGCAGAACTTATAAAAGTGAGAGACCTCATGACTAGTCATGCATTTTGTGACAACTTTGGTTCACCTTGGGTGCAGCCCTGGCTGGGCTCTTGTGCTGCCCAAGGTGGATCCATTGAGGCCTCCTAATAAATCCCTCCTTTATTCTTTAACTCTGTCTGGTCTCTGTTCTAGCCCAGCCTTCACAGGGCATCACCATGAGCAACGGGAACAAGTGATGGGGGGAATCAGCAAATGGTCAAAACTGGTTGGTTGGGTGGGGCAGGAATATCAGAAAGTAAAAATATAGCCAGCCAGATTGAAGTGTGGCCAGGAAACATGAGTTAACACCTTCCATCTGCCAAACAAAGAACACTGCTAGGTCTGTGTGACTGTGACAGCCAGGGCCAGGGCCTTGGCCTCACAAACTGCTAAAAACCTGCATGGTGGGAGATGCACATTCTGTGCCCAGCTCAGGTCAGAATTATTTTGGAGCACGAGACTGGCACTTGGCTCCTCTCACCCCAGCTGTGTGTGCACAGCTCCCTGGGTGAGGACTCACCTCTCTCCTGAGGCTTGTGAAGCAAGCTCTGAGCAGTTTGTGAAGTGCCTGGTTCTCTTAAGAGGCAAGGTGACCAAGACAGTGCCAAGTGCTCTATTTTTGTCCTGGAGAAGCCATCCTCCTCACAGTCACACTCAAGACAGCAGCCAGGGTAACCCAAACTCCTCGGATGGAAGCGGGGAGATTGCCAAAGGGAGGATTAGCTGGTGAATGTCTTGAGGTGCAAAGGTGTCTCATGTGGATTTGTGCAGGATTTTCACCTCAGCTGTCCTGGCTGGAGCTCCTGTCCTGCCATACCAGGACACTCTCCTTGCTGCTGTGCCTCTCCCGGCAGCCAAGGGCTGGTTTTGTGCTCTCAAATTTGCTCCTTTGGGAAGGAAACCTGTGTGAAAGAAAACCCAGCCCTAGCCTGTGAAAAACTGACCTCCTTACATAAGGAAGGAGCAGCTCTGCCTGGAGGCAGGACTGGTTCAGGAGGGATCCCACTGGCTGCTCAGTGACCTGATGCTCTGGGCCATCAATTTCCCTTCCACAAAAGGGATTCCTTTTCCTTCTCTCTGCACTGCACCTTTGAGACCTAGCTAAGAAATCACTGCAAGCCACTTTGTGCCTTGAGTAAAGACCTTTAGAAGGCCCAGTTCCACAACATATTCCTAGACTATGTGACAGACAGGAGGTTTCTCACTATTCTCCAGGTAAAAGGAGTAGCACAGTCCTGTTTCTCACATCTGTGACACTGCCTCTTTCTCCATCTTGTCTTGATGTTTGTTTTCTGCTACCAGCTGCCCCAGAGCTGCTTTATTCCATAGGATTGCAAACCCTATCCATGGGTGGGTATCCACTCTTTTGTCACCCAGGGGAGCAGGGTATAAGACTGCTTGTAATGTTATTATTAAGAGATTCCCTTGGGTTGTTTTTAGCAGAAATGAGAGCTGCTTGTTTTCCAGCAGAGGATCAGTTACAAAAACAACACCAAACAAAAAATGTTTTTTGAGAGCAGGGGCTCTGTTTGCCCTGTTAATTTCAGGGAAAGTTATTTGGGAGGAGGGAGGAAGTAGTTAAATCCTTGTTTACCATATTGGAACCCCAAATCCCCTTGGTTTACACAAATAAGAGAGAAAATGGCTCAGTGGCATGAGCACATGGCTGTGACTAAGGAGAGCTGGGTTTGTTCCCTGCCCTAACTCATACACATCTCAAAGGCCCCTCTTCCCTCAAGATGAGATTCAATCCATCTTGCATTTGATCCCAGCTGAAGACCAAACCACTCATCAGCAGGGAAAGGCAGGATATTCCCAGTGTCAGATTTGTCCAAGAGCACTGAAAAGCCTTGCAGAGGAGCTGGCCTTGCTCCCCTGACTGTTAGGCTGTAGTTTTGTCAGGCACTCCCAACATGTGGGAAGAATGATGCATCTGACTCCCTTTAACTCGGCTAATTAATTACTTTATTATACTATATTATACTATACTATATTACACTACATCTAAACTGAAACTGCACAAGCACTCAACAAAATCTCCTGACTGTCTCCTGACCAACTGTTAGGACACAGCTTGCAGAGACTGGTCAAAAAACCAAAACACTCACACCAGAATCCAGTTACCAAATTCCTTCAGGTAAATAACCTTCCAACACATTCCACGTGTTCACAAAACAACAGGAGCAGCAAATGAGATAAGAATTGTTCTGATCATTCTCTTCTCTGCTTCTCTCAGGTTCTCAGAATGTGAATCCCACATTAGGCAGCTGTAAGTAACCATTGGACTAAAGAGCTGAATTAACACAAGAAGGATGTACTCTGCTTTCTGGGCTTCCCAAACATGAAATTAAGCTAATTAGTCCTTCCCTACCTGACAGTGGGGTGGAAAGGATCCTAATTATTCTAACCTGCTCTAATGCTGAAATGCTAAAGGCCTTTCTGCAAAGGGATCTGTCTGCCTGAGAAGGCAGTGGTGGAAAGGAGTGCACGTGTTCCTAAATCCTTTCTGTCTGGTACAGGCACCTGTCCTGGCTGTTGTAGAACTGATTTGGCTCTCCTTGGTGCTCCATGCCATCCTTTGGGAGGTGGTGTTTCTCTCCTTGCTGCAGAGATTGCAGTCTGTTGGGGGAGGCAGGATGAAGCCCAGAAAATGAGCAATGATCTCCTGGTCTCAGTGCTTCAGGGCCAAGGCCAGGTTTGCTCTGCCTGTGGAAACCAGAATTGCTCCGTGTTACAAACAGAAGGTGTTATCAGACACCAGCCTGAGGAGAACAGAGCAGAAATGAGAGGGGCTGAGCCCTAGCTGGCAGTGAAATGGTGCAGGGTGAGGAAGCTCCCACTGCTCAGGGTCCCTGTGCCCTGGCATGCAGACACTCGGGGTGAAACCCAGGCAGGGAGCACGTCAGGAGGCAGAGACAGACCCCATCCAACAGGAGCCTCCCTGCCCTTGATGGGCAGTCAGGGCTGCCTCAAATCAGGGCAAATATGCCTCCTCTGGGAGCTCTAATGTTTTACTGGATCACTTGGCTTCTCTTGAAGAGTGCTGCTTCAGAGTCTCAGCTGCCTGGATCCCAGGGGGGATTTTGTTGATGGGGGTTTATTGACTTCTTGTTGCCTTGAAGTTCCTGCAGTGGCAGGAGCAAGAGGTAACTCCTGGAGCCTGTTTATTTTACAGGTCGGATTTTTAAGAGTTTGCCAATGGTACCCCAATTTTAGGAGAAGTCACTTGTTTATTTAGCAGTGCACTCACATACTGATCCATAAATAAAACTAGAGTGTTATTTAATAAGTCCCAACAGAAGGTCAGCCCTGGTTCATTGGTAAACTGATCAATCCAGAGTGCAAAAAGCACCCCTCAGGAAACTCACCATGTCTGTCTGAGGGAGGTACCAGCCAAATATCAGTGTGACTTGCACTCCACTGAGTTTTCAGGAGTTTCTGTGCCCATACCCACTGAAAGGGAAATGCCAGAAGGTCCAAGATGGAGTAATTTCCAACAACCTTTACTTCAGCCCTCTGGAGAGGCTTTCAGAGTTGTAAGATTTTACAGCTGGGGCTGCAGATCCAAGTTTGCATCTGTGGGAGAAAGAGCAGACTTGAATGCGGGACCCATGAATTTCCATACACTGGAGCTGAAATTCACCCACCTCTCTTAGGCACCAAGAATTACTTGTCTGGACCTAGGACACTCCCCATGGCTCCTTCTGCAGTTGTGTGTGTGGGATAACCTTGGGATAAGCATCACAGGAGGGAAGCAGCTTTCTGGGAGGAGCTGAGCTCTCCCCAGTGACAATTGTGGGAGGTGTTGACATTGCCTTAACCCCAGATGAGTTTCTCTTAGATGTCCAAATCAGGTGAGAAGCAGCAGCTGGTGTGCCCTGTGGGCACGTGCAGCCATAAGGTGCTCGGGACAGTTCAGCTGATGCTGTGTCCCACATTACAGAATCCTCACATGACTGGGAGGCTTAAGACACAAGCAGCACTAATTCAAAGAGGCTGGGACGGATCTGAGTGGGTTTTACAAGCCAGACATGTCAGATGTCACCCAGGGGATTTGCCATGGGGTCCTGGGATGGGGCCAGGTTGAGCAGATGACGTGCAGTGCTGATCCAGGAGCAGTTCCCTTGGCAAACAGGGAATGGTTTGGGTGCCTGGGGATGCAGATCACTCAGCAGGCCCTGTTCCACTGCAGCAGATGCCTCGTGAAAAGCTGGCAAGCCACACTTACAGCCAGGACCTGGTGACCTTGGCCACTTCAAACTGCATTTATTCTAACAGAGGAGAGTGCATGGGTGAAACTGCTACCATGGGTGTGCGCACACAGGGGAATAACCCAAACAAGGATTTTGAACCTAGATCTGGGATTTTTGCCTTGATGAGGGAGAGAGGAGCAGTCAGGCACAATGCACCTACAAATCAGTTGAAGTCCCTGTGAAGAGGCACAGTTGAATGGAGATGCCTCTAAAAACCTCAGTCCCAGGAGCCTGAAGATATCACAACAGGCTGAAATGCCTGCAAATGCAACATTTCTTTGGAGAGAGATACAGGGAAGAGAGACTTTTCACCAGTTTTGTGGTTTTATTTTTGCTGCAGGCATACACTGGGTTGCTGTTTCAAGGCTTTGGAAGGAACAGAAGCTGTTGATATTCCTGATATTCCTGAGCATAATGTTCAGCCTGAGCCCCCTTTTTGGAGAACATTCCAGGTTGGGTTAAGCAGGCTAACCACAACTGGGCTGTCTCAATCTGTTCCAAGCACAGCCAGAATCAGTTTATGTCTGCCTGCAAACATTCTGGAGTTCCTCTGGTGGCCTGGTTTGTAGAGGTGCTACTCACTCACAGCTGCTGCTTAGGTAAAGCTGTAATGCTGCCCAGATCACCCTTCTGTGCCTCAGTTTCCTTATCCCAAACACAATAAACCCCATTCTTCATGGCCTAGGGGCATATGGTGTCATGCAAATTTTGTTATTTCTGTGATGAGAGCATGAGCTTTGTTTGGTACAGTGGTCTGGGGGTGCCTCCTTGCCATCATTTGGAAAAGACAGGAATTAACCTGCATGTTGGAAATGCAGAGTGTTGTTATTGCTCTCAGACAAACAGAATTACCTCCTCTCAAAATCAAAGATTATCTGTTTTATTTCAGTGAGATGTGGTGATGTCCACAGAAAACAAATCTTTCTTGGCAAGTGGAGGCAGGATTTTCTTTGGCAAGTTGGAAGAAGCATCAAAGGAAGAGAAAGATGGGATGCAGCACAACTGGTTTTAATCAGACATGAGAGTGAAGTTCCTCTGGACAGGCCCACTCTCTGATATGCCATTGTAAACACCCTGGGGAGCCTGGAAAAAACCAAGGGAATGGCACAGAGATCCTCAGGGCTCTTGGTGGACTAACTGGCAAAGCTTTTTCCAGCTGGCATCAGGCAGTGCTGAGGTGTCCCTTGAATGCAGTGTGCTGGTTCCATGACTGATTTTCAGAGCTGTTTGGTTATCCAAGCCCCTGCCTTGTTTTTGGCAGCTCCTCAGAACATGCTGCACTCCTGCTTGACACCACAATGAGGGTGCTGAGCTGGTTGAGACAAGGATGCAGCATCACTGCACAGCCCCTGCAGAGAGGGCAGGCTCTGATTTCAGCCCAGCTCTGCTCTGAGCTGCTCAGAGTGCTCTGGAGGTGTCAGCTGCCTCTTCTTGCCTGTCACAGAGCCTCCAGGGGCTGCTTCCCAGAGCTGCCTGAGCGGATGGGAGAGCCTGGACAAGGAGAGCTTGGGGAAATGCCTCTTGACAGGGCTGTACCCCTTGAAACCAGCTTCCTCTGGAAACTGCTGACTTGTTTCACTAAGTTTAGGGACAGGGAATGTGCTGATTTTATTAGTGTGTTCTGTAGAAGCTGATGTTCACTTCAACTATTTCAATACCATATAATGTATTACACTGTCACCTCACATAACATGTCAGCTCAAACTAGCTTATATAAACATCAAAACAAGAAAGTCAAGCTAAAAGTACCTGATATCATTTCAGTCCTTCTGAAACACAGCATTTCAGCACATCCATTCAGCTGCATGTTCCAAAATGATGGCTCTCTCTTCCAGTTAGGAAGGAAAGGACATTTGCAATGTCTGAATTGCCTTTGGAGCATGAACAGCTTGAGCTGTGATGGTTGCTGGAGCTGCATGGCTGGGATTGCTGCTCAGAATGCTGCAACAATTGTTTTTCTACATTTTGTGGTGTTTGGAGGCTACAGCCAGGGCTTGAGGCTCACATTCATACAACAAAGGTAACATTTGGCCTTCAGACCCACAGAAGAGAAGCTGGACCTGATATGGGGACACCAAGTGACACCAGAACTTGGGAGGTGGCTTGGCAGAAATGGGATTTACTGTGCTGGGGATAAGCCCTTACTCGGTGTGGTAGCCTGGGAGAAAAAATCTGCTGGAAGGACAAGTTGGGAATTTCCCTGATCACCTGTCAGTGCTAATGAGGACTTGAGCTTGAAGGACCCTCAGTGATCTGTGAGCCTTGTCTCAGACAGGGTCCAGATCTTGGATTAAATCTCTGGTAACATCAAGATCGGGAACAAGTTTCAGATGAGCACAAAACAAATGGGATTCAAACCCCCAGGGAGCTAAAGACTTCTTTAATTGATTGGTTTAAATAACATGGAAGTTCAGGCAGAGCCATTGAGTTGAATATGCAGTCCTTGAACACTAAAGAAGAACTGATACACAGATGATGTCTAAGCAAAATCTGTTTGAAATTTGTGATTAATAATAATAATAATAATAATAATAATAATAATAATAATTATTATTATTATTTACTATGGGTAAATTGCAGACAGCCCTGAATTTCTAAGCCAAGAATGGCCCTTACCCAAATTAAGGGACATTTAAGGGTGGCCTGTACCAGATGACTGGGAGTTGTGGAATTAAAACATGCCTCAGAAAGGGAGGAAACCAAAATATTTTTCAGTCTGCAGCCTTCTCATGCATTTCAGCTCCTGAAGGACTTTGTTTCTTTACTCTTGAGATTCATTATGTCACCAGAAAAGCTTTACTATTTTACAGTGGAAGCAACATAACCATGAAACATTAATTTCCAGGAATGTGGAAACCATGAAATAGGGGTTTTTCTACTAAATTAAGATTTTACTTTTCTCTCTTCTCACATAGTTAGGGAACCAATTTTCATTATATATTTATGTATATGCATTCTGGAAATTCTAATAGAAAAGATACACAAAACACAGGAAGAACATTTTTACACTGAAAAATGTATTTCATGGTACCCACACCAGCCATTTATATTCCATTTTTCATCCTGAACCATTTTGTATCCTAAATCCACCTTGGAACCACGTCTCTCCTGACTGAACTGCACCAACTCAGCTGATATATTGTGCCCTGTAAGATTTGGCAGCTGTTTAGGTTTGTATAAAATTCTTTATTCCCGCGTTTCCACAATGCCATTCTCTCACCACCTCTCAGACCTGCCTGGCACAGACACCACTGCACAAGGATCTCCAGCAGCCCCCAAATGTTCTGCACCATGGCAGATGTCTCTGGCTGGAAGAAAAAAATGGTGAAGGGCAAACTAATTTGTAATCCATTTAAAGGAAAATATGTAAATATTCCCTTCTGTTTGCTATAGGACTGACGCCTCTTTCTTGATAAAAATGTTACTTACTCAGTTTCCGTCCAATACCAGCTGATCAGAATGGGAGAATTAGCCAAAACATTCCAGAAGCATCTGTGCTGTGGGAACCATAGTTTTCTAGGCTATAGGAATCACCAGAATATTCTCCAAATCACCAGTGTGGTTTTCCTTAATGCTACAATTAGCCATGGGACATTAACAGGAGAGTTACTGGATAAGAGTTGATGGCAGAAAGCCTTCTGCTATAAACTGGTAATTCTCAACATGTGCAAACATATTGCCAGAGAAGATGAGTTATGCAATTAAAATCAAAATTGGAGATTTGTTATCAAAGGACAGCAATGTGTACTAAAATCCAGCTGAGAGGCTCCCTTATCTTGTTATCTTCAGGCTTCTTTTTTAGTTAATCCAACACAGCTGACAATATTTGACACAGCCAATTGTGCCTGCTGTCATGTGAGGGATGTTTTATAGAGCTCCTTTCCCCTAGCACAGAGAGATTTGTCATGGTGCAACTCTTTACAAAGTCTGAAAAGCTTTGCCAGGATTGCATTTCAGGGCAGAAAGATGTGATAAAAATTCTGACAGAGTCAGAACGTTTCTAATGTTATCATTAATTTCTAAAATTTGAACAAGGCTTAGTAACATTTTAACTGCAAATTATGTTAAAAGTTCAATTCGAAAGAAGCATTTAATTTTGTCTGGCTAAAAAATTTTAGTCAGCTTGGGAAACTGTGGTTGTGTAGCCTTCTCTCATAACAAATTTCAAAATTCCTCCCTTGCATCTTTAGAAAGAAGAAAAATTCCACATTCTGTATTTGTTTTCAAAATTGAATCTCTCTCCTCCCACAGCACTTTCTGTGCCTCTAGGAAGAGGACAAAAAGCTTAATGTACAATTTCTGTGAGCCTTAAGGAGATGGGCTGCATGGCAGTATTTTCAAATCCAGGCTTACACAGCTGCTCTTTGAATATAAATCATAGCTTTTGGGCTACACTAACACTCTCTGCAGTTTAGCACAGTTGTTAATTAATACAATACTCTATTAGTTCTTCTTACAGCCTTACTATTAACGTTCCGTGAAATCCCATTAGCTCTGCATATGGTGCCAGGCTTGTTCTGAATG